TTAGAAGAGAAAGCGAGTGCGTGGAAGGAGTCGAAGACAGTGGGTATGGTGGGAGTGTGAGGGTGCTAGGTTACTTATCTAATGATGATATCGGGGGAAGAGAGGTGTAGGTAGGGGGGTTTTAATGTAAGGCGAACTTGAATATGATGTTAGGTTGTGAAGAGAATCGGTACCAGAGGAGGTATAGAAGAAGAGTGGTGCGAGGTGGATAGCGAAAGTAAGCTATATAGAAGAAGAGTGGTGCGAGGTGGATAGCGAAAGTAAGCTATGTGGGGAAGGGGAAAATCAGGGCGAACTCACTCGATTCGTTATAAAATCAAGTGAGTGAAGGTTTTGAGGCAAAGTTTTAAAGTGCAGCGAACGTGATGGTGGACTCAAAAATTGAAGATGAGGTGGTGGTATTGGTAATGGAAGGTGCGAAAGCTGCGCAGGGAAGGAACGTCTAGAAAAGCAATGTATACTTCCCTGTTTTAGCGGAAGATTCGTGCAGATTCTCACTCGCGTAGCAAGGGATGGATGCTGCTGCTTGTCGGGATTGTGGGGTTCATCTCCTCGCTCGATCGTGACTCCCATCCCGAACGCGCCCTCCCGTTTGTCATTTACGCCTCGAATTGCAACTCGCTTCTTGTCGGAGTTTGAGCGAACCTGGCCGGGTCAGCGGCCGGGTGCAGTAATGCCTTAGGGGCTGTTGGTCGCCCATTGAGCGAAGGGCTGTGATGAACCCTTGGGCGTTGTGGCTACAAACAGGTGGGCAACTGTGATTGGGAGGTCATGATACGTACCGGATTGGGCGACGGACTACGAGAGCAGTCTCCTTTAGCATTATGGTTGTTGTTACTGATGCCAGCAGGGAACGCCAGCATGCCCACAACGAGCTGCCAAAAGCGGCATAACGGAGTGGTCACGATTGTAGATAGAGGATTGAAACGGGCCAGTGCGTCTTTTTGACTTATCGATGTTGCTTCTATGGCAACCTTTGAGTGGCCTACTGAGATATCCCACCGCGATGGTGGCTGTACTCAACACGCACTAGTTGTGCATGTGCTATATAGCACGGCGTTGGTGCACGGTCTACGACGTGCATCATTGGAATCTTATGCAGTTTGATGTTGAGCTCCTATCGCTGGGCGCAGTGATGTGATAAGTTGTTATCAAAATACATTACGTCGGTGCCTCGAGATTGCGTAGTGGTAGCTTAGACGGAGGCTGAAGCTATGGGACTTGAGAGAGTGGTCAAAGAAGTGAAGAGGCTATCATTGCGAATTAGGAGACATAGAGGTTCTGGACTCAAACGATGGGTCTGGGAAGGCAGTGACCATCTGTGAAGTAGCAATCCTCCATGCCGATGGGTCTGGGAAGGCAGTGACCATCTGTGTGTGCTAACTTAAATGGGAAACTCATTCGACCAGCTTGAGAGAAGGCAGCGAGTGGTTCCGGGCTCAAACGACGGAGTTGCTCCTAATTTGATAGTCCGAGCAATCTAGGTGGCGAGGGGGAGCCGTGGGTTTGAGGACCTACCTGGGACCGACTCGTTACCACTTGACTGTGCACAGACAGTCGCTGCTGGATCACTTGACTGTGCACAGACAATGACTATTGGATCACTTGACTGTGCACAGATAGTCGTTGCTGGATCACTTGACAGCGCACATACAGTCGCTGCGGATCACTTGCCTGTGCACAGTCAGCGCGAGTCACAGACGCACTCGCGCCTCGTACGGAATGATTAGATTTAGAACCAACTTACTCTCCCTACTGCTTGCAAAAGCCACGGCGGATGCCCTTGTAAGGGTATTCGCACCAACAACGCCAATAAAAAAAATTGTCGTCGCCGCAAAATCCGCGCGATCTAAATCGATGGCCAGGAGCCCAGTGCCTTGGTTTCCCCCTAGGGGAACCAAGGTCATTAGTCTCTAGAAGTATCTGGCCATTCTCCCTGGCCACATACTTCTAGAAATACATGTACCCAGCCACTCTCTGCAGCCTGTTCGGAACGAACTGTTGCAGTCTTTTCACCCCCTAGAATCTTCTGGGGGCTGCATCTGTTCCACGGTCGTGGCCGCATTCGCAGCCACTACATTTTTCTCCCCCCTTCCTTACTTCTCTTCCTTTCTTTTTCTTTTTCTCTTCCTTTTTTTTTTCTTTTTCCCTACCCCTTCGTTTCCTTATGTAAGGGGGAAGCAACTCACTTTTCAACGAGCAACCTCCCATTCCCCAAGGTCATTTCACAGAGTCGATCTAGAGTCGAGCTCAGCAGGGTCATTTTTTTTATTTTTTTTTTCCCCTGCCCTGTGCCTGTATCAAGTGCAAGGTAGGCGCCAGATTCAGACGCACAAGCCAAGAGAGCAGCCTGTTTCCCGAATGAACAGGCTCTCCCACTCTAGTTGGCTCCCCTTTCTCTCTCTCTCTCTCTCTCTCTCTCTCTCTCTCTCTCTCTCTCTCTCTCTCTCTCTCACACACACACACACACACACACATTCGTAGTGTATAGTGCCGCATTATAGGGTAAATTTGCTCAGTTTTGCCCATTCCCTTCACATCGATAGAACACCGGCCCGTTTCGTCCAAACCAAAGGGCGCCGATATAGCCTGAAAAAAAAGAACAGAATCTGAAATATAAAGTAAATCTAGAAGGAAAAATCTGAAGGAAATCTCACAAAAATGAAAATCTAAAGAAAGAAAAGGAAGAAAAAAATAAAAAACTTACCTTGGAATTGAAATGGTTGCTCGTTTGAAACGGGCACCGTTTTGCAGAGTTGGGGCTAAATGCCCCGACCAGTTCTCGCTGCGCTATCTGGCGCTTCATCTTTAGTCCAAAATTTTTATTTTTATTTTTTTTTCCTTTGTTGGCCAAAGCCAACAGTCACACCCTCACGTGGCTTTTCAGCCACTTCTCTCGATCTGCCGATTACGAAAAAAAAAAAAAAAATACCTTTTTTTTTATCGATTTGTGCGTGTCATCCTTGCACAGGGGCCATCCTAATCTTCGTGCGGCCGATCTCGGTCGTGCAATCTTCGCAATCGACGGTCCAAATCGACCGCGCCCACAACAAGGTGGCCAGCTGCAAAAGGAGCTATGCCCAGCAAGGCGAGGCGTTTCATGTTCGATCCTGGTGTCTGTCGGGTAGTAGTCTGGCGCTGTAACCTACTGGGCTAGCTCCTATCACGATAGTGATAGGAGCAGCTCTTCTATATGAAGAGCTCAGCCCTGTCCCTATCCCCTTGTCGTGGCCTTGCAGGCCCTGCTTGCCTGTGGCTCTGCAGGCCCACCCTGCCTGTGGCCCTTCAGGCCCCGCCTGTTTGTGGTCTAGCAGGCCTTGCTGACCGACGGCCTAGCAGGCTCTGCCTGCCTGCTACTTCCACGTGGATGGCCGCCCATCGACAACTCCGGGGCCACCCATCGGGTAGGCCTCGACATACTCGGTGGGCCCAGAAAAAAAAAACCTTGCTATTCCTCTCGCGCTGTGGCCCCATACCCAGCGCATCCCCCTTTTTAGCCCATTCGGGCCCTAAATCGCGCGGCTGCTAAGCCGCGCAATATTACTTTAGGTAGAATAGGTCTAGTTCTACCACTTCCATATCCGCACGCTTCTGCGGCTTCGACAAGAGCGAAGCACTGCCAACTACTATCGTTATACTCGGACGCCAGAAGTGTCCGGACAAAAACTCGAAACCTTTTAATCTCTCAGTCATAAGTCAGATCTGAATAAACTTTTGGCAAACTTCAATCTCATCAAGTCCTTCAATTCAACGAAAGAGTTCGAAAGTGTCCGACGTTGAAAACCCCCGACAAATACCCTTGTCATGATATTTGCCTCGACAACGAAGGCAAGCACAAAGATAGGCATAGAGGCGGGCATGGAAGTACACGAGGTACCCATAGGGTCAATGACCTGGAGCAGTTGCGGGTTAGGGTAATCACGCATGAGATCACAGATGGCAGTAATAGTTTGAACCATAGCACCGCCATTCCATAATTCCCAAGAAGCAGAGGCATGGACAAGAATGGTGTAATGGCCAGGTGTATGTAGAATATAGGCACAAACGTGCGAACAATGGTCCGGGTCGCCACCCAAAGGGGCACGCTGCATATCAAGTCGGCGCCTTATCAAAGCAGTCTCCAAAACCGAGACATTGAATCCCCCTTGTCGAGTGTAATTACTATTCTGTGGGGGATGCAGACTCGGGTCATCGCCATATAACTCACGTTCTTGAGCATCAAGATTGGAAGCAACGGCCAATAAATCAGAGTGAGTATATGGTTCCCGACGATAGGCTTGTAGGCAGATGTTAGTAGCAGCAAGACGACAGATTCAGTGGAGGCAAGTCGGGCGGATTTTCTACAGAATCTCCTACAGTCCCCTTGCCAAGTTCATCCTCGGATGGTCCCTCGCCATCATCCCTCCTATTTTGTGTTTGCCTCATTGCAGAAAGTTCTGCAGTCGAAGAGCGTCCCAGGTGTGGTACGGACGACTGGGGTGGAAAAAGACCAGGAGGGGATGCTTGGGAGGGTTGTGGTGGGGAGAATGATCGGGTTCTTTTTCGTCCAAGAATAGACATTGAGGAAAGAGGAGTAAGCTGGGGTTAAGGAATAAGCTGGCGTCTAGGATGGCGAAGTAGGCTTTCTGCACGGGCAAAACAGGTGTGATAGGCGCCGTTAATGAAGACGGGGCTGTGACAGGCGTAGTCCGAGGACAATGTGTGAATATCCGAGAAAGCAGGTGGTGAATATACCATCAAAGCATGCTACGAAACCACTTGGAGAGGCGGGTTATGTGCGCAGGGTACCTATGTTGACGTTTACAAATATAGGAGGTCCATCCTTTCGCAGGCGTTGTTGGAGAGTGCCCAGACGTACTCAAACCAAGTTGGTCTGTAAACACTCCCGTCGGCTGGTGTGCAGTGCCATTGTACGTAGCACTAAGATAACGAATAACAGGGAAATTCCATTCAATTACTTTGTCAAACACACTTATACGCAAAGAAAAGTCACGACGGACCTGGAGGCGTGCACCCAAGAATGTGCAAGAGCCATCAGGCATTGTGGTCTCCTTCCATTCGAGGCCATAGTGCTCTGATGGTGGTGGCAGATGTCCCCATGAGAGAACTTCATCGATCAAGCAATATGTGAACGCATACCATTGAGCTGCGCGAAAATCAAGCCGCTGCACATCATCAACAAAGCGAGCCTCATCCCAATACAACGTCAAACTATCTATCTTCGGACCAGAATTAGTCCCCATTGGGATGCCAATCAGTTGATGTCGCATGGTGTCGTTCGGTGCGTAAAGATACGTGTTTGTGACAATGAAATGAAGATGTTCAAGAATTTGGGAAACGCTCAAGGTGTTTGATCCTGTATGAACCCTCCACTCCCCTTGATGGGCCACTTTAACAATCATGTTAAGGGCAGACAGATGTGTGCGCCCCTGTGTGTCTATGTAGAGGCTTCCTCAACCGCTTTTGATACATTATGACAAATAAGATCACGAGGGAGATTGGTATACATAGTTGTGAAATCAACAGGGCAAGGAACATGGCCACGAAGAGAAGAATTACGTTTGAAATCAAGCATCACCTCCTCAACGCATTGCACGATCCAGCACCGTCTTACACCGCTTTGCTGATACAACAGATTATCCTTCTCATACAGAGTCTCAATGACTCCTTGTAGTGCAACGCTGGGGCGGGCAGAAGCGACGGTAGAACTGGCCAAGGGTTTGTAGGGAGGTTGGTGGTGGACTGCATGAACAAATGGTGCAGTTGATCGAGGTCGTGGTGGTAGGGAGAGATTATTCCGCTCTGCGGCGTCAACAAAATTGTGAAGCCTGGGGGGCGATTTGTGCGCTTTAAGTGCATACTACAGATATGGCAGTGTGTCTTTGTGTGTATATCCCCACCGATGATTCCAGAGTGCGTGATGTTCGAGAATATTTGCGACAGAGTCAAGGGGCACAGCATAGGTAGGGCTGTCCACAGGCACCAATTTTTACAACAGATTGCCAAGTTATGAGAGGTCTTGTCGATAGGAACAGTAGTGAAGTGTTGTTGAAGGTGTCTCAAAGCCCTAGTCCCTTAGTGAAGGAAGTGTGGTTGTCCTGTGGCAGTGTGGGAGGATGAGATGTTGCTTTGGCAATGTGTGAGAACGACTGAGCGCCACTACTGCAATTTGTTCACAGCGGTCGGCCAAAGCTGCTCGGAGACCGACTTCAGGTATTTAGCAATATACTTGTCAAGGCCAACTCTAACAACCTGAAGCACATCAGCGATTTGCCCATTAAGACAATACTTCGAGCCTTCATGAAACAAGTCGCTCAAGCGATCATCAGGAATGATGTCGTAGTCGATTGTAACAACATGGCAGTCGACAGTCAAGAAGCACTTTTTGACATTGGCAGTCCGAGGGGTCACGTAGGGAGATCCCCTGAGCGCAACTTCCATCAAATTAGAGAATTGGACGTGAGTTGGCGACAACAACTTATCACAAATACGCAGGTGTGTTGCGGCATCAAGGTCAGGGTGCATGCAGGGCTTGTCGCAGCCCAGTGACCTGAGACACCTCGTGCATGTGCACAACTTTAATATGATCAAGGCAGGCATCTCGAGACTGAGCTGTGTATCGCTGGAGGACATGTTGATGCTTCCGAATCACGCATTCAAGCTGACGGATATGCGCAGTCATATCTGCATCGGAGATATTATTGCTCAACCACTGCAGCAAGCAGGCACGCCAAACAAATGTTGCTCGCTGGTTGACAGATTCCATCTGTTGCGAATTGCCAGCAGCAGTCTATGAAAGAAGATTGTGCAACACAGACTGGACTTGAAAGTCGGGGCCTGGACGCAAATCAATAGGTTCGGGCTGTTGATGATCTAACGGGCGAGGGTTTGTCTCCACCGATTCCCAGTAAACCATAGGCAGAGAGCGCGAAGAGGACAACAACAAAGGGGCTGTGACAAACTGTTCCATCGGAGTTTCACCGACTCATGCATAATATATATATACATCATATATATATACATAATATAAGCAAGGAATGTGAGTGTGAGCGATATACATGAAACCAAGTTGCGAAATCACACAGCTGAACAAGTAGTCGTGTCCCAAGCAGAGAGTTCAAATGCACCGAGAAAACCATCCATATAGAGCAATACAATAAAGTCCAATGTCCAAGCTCGTAGGCCACACCAACACAGTATCCAAAGTCGCTCCTGTCTGGCGCTCGGCGCCCAGCCTAGTCTACCTGACTAGCCTACCTACATTCGGTTCACGAAACAGCATCACTTCGACTAGGTACGTATCTCGTCACCCTCAATCAGACCTTGATTACCCCACACAGCGCCTCCTTCCCTGAAGACCACCTGATCATCCGCTGTACCCCCTGGCGCCCAGCAGCCCGGCTATAGCTGCCTGCGCTCCGCTGCCCTGCAGCACCCCACTTCACCTCTCGCGCCCCATCAGCGCCCTTGGCAGCAGCGCAACATCAAGCGACAGCGCAGCAGCACTTTCACATTGCCAGCGATGGCCAGCATGCCTGGCCTGGGCTGCTTCCTCCCTTTTGTGGAAGTGGCAGCCTCCTGGATGCTGCGTGTGGCCTGCCTAGAAGCTTCCAATAGCTTCCGGTTGGGTCCCAGACCCTGCGCCAAGGCCCGAGACTACAGTTGAGGGCCTGGGCCCTTAGCAGTTAGGCACAACCTGAGTCTCCGGACTTGGGTTGTTTGCTGCATCTGTGCAGAGCTCCCAGGCAGGTGCGTTGGCACTACTGCTTTTACAAAGGCCGAAGGCCTGCTTCCCAATGTATCGGCCCTGCTTTGTGTATGTCTGCCCAGGCGCAACTGTCAAGTCCTGGGCAAACTGTATGACGCTGCAATGTGAGGCTCACGCATCTTCCCAACCAACTCGCGTGCTGCAAGAGCCTGAATACCCACATATGGAAATGTCGAATTTTGCCTTTGACGAATCTTCAAGCCCGCCTTCACTTAGGTCGGGCACTTGGCTTGCTGGGGGCCTTGGCCCAGAACAATGTGATGTCCGATAGGGCCACTTGAGGGCTTGTTCCTCGCATTCCATCCCCCTTAGCTTCGAAAGTCCGCTGAGATGCTTCATGTTCTTCTCATAATCTGCCATGATCTGAGGAGCTATCTTGACAAGTTCCTCCCTTGAAATCCATCGATCTTCCTTCGGATCTGTATGATGCCTGAAATGTACTCTGTATTCCCTCCACAGGTTTGGGAGGTCTTCCCCTCCCAGGCGTCTCTCTGTGATACATGATATCATCGACGTCCACGTGGCCATACATAGCTGGGGGCAGCATAGATCTCCGTGATGAGAACTGTGTTGTCTCAACAAAAGGTGCAAGCTTGGAGGCGTGAAAAATAGGGACCATCCACCCAGGGACCGAAATACTGAGGCCATCCATTAGTTTCCTAGAGATGCCAAACTCCTATCCCAACTCACTAGCCTTGACCCAGACACGTTCCCCTACCTGAAATGTAAATTGTCGGCGATACTTGTTCTCAGAAGCAATCATGACTTCCTGAGATTTCTTGATGTGTTCGACAGTCTGCAGTTTCTCATATTGGTTACAAAATTCAATGGTTCCAGGAGTTGCAGCAGTTCGGTTTTCAGGCACGAGGAAGTCTAGAGCAGATCTAGGCTTCCACCCCAGATGCAGTTGATTAGGAATGACGCCGGTGGTGCTGTGTACAGCGTTATTGTACAGGTTGGCGATGAGAGATACTTTCTCATGGGCTTGATGTTATGCCTAAGCACATGCTGCACCACTCAGTTCATCTGTTCAGCCTGCCCATTTGCTTCGGGATGATTCTCTGAAGTCATCTGAAGTTGGCTGCCCATCTGTTCAGCGGCCTTCTTCCACATCTCGCTTGTGAAACGTACCTCTATCACTGATGATCGTTTTTGGAAATCCATAGTCACGCACCCAGTTGTCCATGAACAACTTGATGACGTGCTCAATCCTGGCAGTTTCTGGCATGGCGATTAGTCTAGCGTACTTAGTGAACCTATCCACTATGACGAAGATGTGCCTCTTGCCATTCCTGCTGGTCACGAGAGTATCCATGAAGTCCACAGAGATACTCTGCCTTGGGCCAGCAGGAATGGGTAGAGGCTCGAGTAACCCAAGTGGAGCTTGAGTCCGCGGCTCGTCTTGCTGACAGACCTTACAGGTCTTTACGTACTTCTTTGCATCGTCCAGCATGTAAGGCCACCAAAATCGCTGCACTAAGTTAGCACAAGTCTTCTTATAGCCGAAATGTCCCGTTGCGTCATGGCATTCTCCTAAAAACAAACTACGCAAATCTTCCCTAGATGGAACAACTGATCTCTTAAACCCTGCCTTCTCAAGGAAGAGCAACCCATCCACCATCACAAACTCATCAGTGGTGGCCTTGTCTTTAGCCTGAAGTTTGGTGATGATGTCCATCGTGATGGGATCTTCCTTGTAGGCTTCCTCCATAGATCGAGTCACGTCCTCAAATAGGCCAAACTCGAAAATCACCGCACCCAGGTAATTTGCCCTTCTAGACAACGCATCAGCGTTGTACTCTCCCTTCACATAGTCTAGTTTGAAGTCATACTGATCTATGACTTCAATCGAGCGTTTGAGTGCATCAAAGAGAACCGGTTGTGTCTTGATCCACTTGAGGGTCTGATGGTCACTTCTCAAATAGAAGAACCTTCCTAACACATAGTGCCTCCAGTGGACAAGTGCCTTGTAGACAGCATAGAGTTCCCTCTCGTAGGTTGACTTTGCCAACTTCTTTGATGGCATCTTTTTGCTCAAGTACTCGACGGGTCTCAACTTTTTCCCGTCCTGCTGAGCCAGCACTGCGCCAATGCCGTATTGGCTTGCGTCAGTGGTTACAACAAATGGCCTTTGCGGGTCGGGTACCATGAGAACCTCATGGTGCGTAAGAGTATGCTTCAACCGTTTGAAAGCTGCCTCACACTCGTCGGTCCAGTCCCATGGGGTGTCAAATCGAGTTAGATCAATCAAGGGAGATGTGATCGTCCTATTGTTCTTCACGAAGTTGCGGTAATAACCACACATTCCCAAGAATGATCTGACCTCAGTCACAGACTGGGGTCGTGGCCAGTACCTAATGCTAGCCAGTTTTGCATCTTCGGGCCTAATTTCGTCCGCGGATACTTCATGACCCCAGTACAAGATTCAAGTGCGACCGAACTCGCATTTCTCTATATTTATCTTATACTTGTGTTGCCGAAGGAGTGAAAGTACTCTGTCTACATGTTGAGCATGCTCCTCGACAGTTCTACTTAAGATAAGTATATCGTCGAGGTACACGACAATGAACTTATCTAAGTAGTCATGGAAGATCCTATTCATGGCGTGCTGGAATGTACCTAGCGCATTGTAAACGCCAAAGGGCATCACCACAAACTCATACACACCGTACCTGGTCTGAAATGCGGTTTTGTGTTGGTCCTCTAGTCTTATGGCAATCTGATGGTAGCCAAATTTTAGGTCTATCTTTGTATAGTACTTACATCCCTGCACCCGATCCAATAGGTCGTCGAGGTGTGGTAGAGGCTCTGCATTCTTAACGGTGATGGCATTGAGGCCTCTATAATCAATGTACATCCTTAGTGTTCCCCCTTTCTTTGGAACAAAAAGAACGGGTGAGCCAAGGGGGAAGTGCTAGGCCGTATCCAACCCTTTTCTGTGAGCTCTTTCAGTTGCCGACGAAGCTCGTCCAACTCGGTCGGAACCATCCTATAGATTCTCCCTTTAGGTGTCTTGCTACCTGGGATGATCTTTATGGCATGGACAACCTCCCTGTCTACGACTCCTAAGGGCTCCTCGAACAGATCAGGGTACTTAGCGACAATGGTCTCTATCTCTGGGGGTGTTTTAACGGCCTCCCCTTTTGCCGAGAAAGAGACCAAGTACATTCCTTCCTCTTTGTTCGTTTTATAATAATTATGGAAAGTTGATGCGCATAAGCACCCATAGGGGTCTATTAACCTACTAGCTTTGTACTTAGCCAGTCTAACGGTTCTCCCACTAGGCAACTCGTGCTTCAACACCTTCTGTCCTAGTCAAACTGGAGCTTGGCAACCTCGAGGTAGTACATGCCCAACAACATGTCAAAGGGCAACTCGTCGCTCACCAGGAATGATATTTTATGATTTCTCTCTCCTCCTGGGTAGGAGAAGGTGCAGACTACATCTTTAACGTAGTCCTCCGCCATCATGCGCTCTTTGTTGGCCAAAGTAGATGCTACCGGTCTACTAAGGCGCTGCACTCGGTCCTTTAGGCACAGTCTGTCAACACAGCCGCGACTGATGAAGTTTCGCGTGGAGCCAATGTCTCCGAAGGCGCCGCACCAACTTCTACAACGAAGTGCTCCCCTTTAGGACCTCTACTCAATGCCCCCCAGGACTCACGAGGGTCCCTTGCCGACCACTGACCTTGAAGGTCCTCTAGGGCTTCAGACACATCCAACGTACAGAGTATAGTTGGGTCCTGATGCGTCTGCGGGGTAACTAAGGAGTCAATAGCTTCGGCCAACTCTTGAAACGGGGAGGGTACATCACCCGATTCAACGAGAGTAGAAGCAGCTACATCTTCTACCGGCCCTAAGTGTTTCCAGAGCTGGAGTTCGTAGAGGCCCCTGACTGAGAAGAAGGAAACCCACCCTTAGGAGGGATCTTTTGCGAGACCTTCGAGTTCTTACATTTAAACTATGTATGGCCGTACTCGCCCAGTTGATGCAAGCACCTCGCGACCATCGATCTCGCCACACTTCCTGATCCAAGCCAGCTCTAACCCAAGCAGCTATCTTGTTTGGGTTAGCGGCCTGCCCCTGACTCCTTTGCTGACCGCCCTTCCCGCGGCCTGCTGCCTTAGTCTTAACTACTGCGGCGAGGTTGCTACCCTCAACACTCTCCTCGCCATCTAACTCTGCACCCTCCACAAGTTCAAAAACATCATCAATTTTAATTTGATACCCTTCGAAATCAACCATCATCAGTCGACTACCCTTCTTCTTCTATTCTTGTGGAGTCTTCTTCTTTCTTCCGTCCGTAGAAGGGGTTTGGGCACTACCCATCGTAGCCTCCAAGTCTAAGGCCTTCTTGTTGAATGTCTCAGACGTGTGATACTCTCTGCGAGCCTTCCTGGGATAACGATCAGGCGCTCTACGATCGTGGTAAGCTCTCGCACTGACTTGTACTTCCTAGCATCAAGCTTTAATAATCCATCAATGGCAATCTCTGCCTGCTGAGGATTGTGCCACCGTGCTTCCACTAAATCCATAAAGCTTTTTAGGGTGTGGGACTGCACCCTGTCACCCATGTTCCTGCCGAACCCTTTGAAGCTACCAATATTTAGCCAGCGAGTTGCTAAACCCTCTAAATAGGATGCAGCAGTAATCACTTCCTCCTCTACCAATGTCCTCTTTGCGCTCATCCAGACTGGCACCGTTCTCAACCACGTGTCGAGAGCCTCATCCTTCTTGTCTCCTGAGAAGGTTGGAGGTGGTTTCAGGGGGGGTTTGGGATACCAAGGATATTGCTGTCCCGCTGGCGAGATAGGTGGCGACTGTGGTGTAGCACCAGTCGCTGGACCAGAAGATGTAGAAGCCACAGTCTGTGACATGGCTGCTGCTGATGTACTACTTGATGTTGGTCCACACTAAGCGGCATAGGGGCCTGTCATCGCTGAGAATGGCAGCGATGGTAAGGCTGCTGGCCTGATTTTTGGTCTGTACATGGCGTTTAGGATCTAGTCTAGGGTGTCCTGGATTGTATCCAGTTTGCTGTCCATGTATGCATGCATGGACAGGATGCTCGCCATAAGAACCTTTTCATTACCGTTAAGGGTTGAGTCATCTAACCCCTCTAGCGCAACCTTGTCTGCCTCCCTACCCTCTAGAATGACACTTCTGTCTCTAATTTCTTTCTCTCTCTTAGTAGCCTGTCTGAGTTCCTCCTCTAGCCTTAAGCAGATCCTCTCGACTTGCTGGAGCTCCATCTGCTCCTGGGTGCGTGGAGAAGGCGAGCCGAACTGCGAGCCCGCCATCTGACTAGTGCCACCTCCTGACATACTGGAGATGAACTGTGAACTAGACGGCATGCCCAGCCCTTGAGCAGTTAAGTTTGCAGCAGAAGTTGCTGTCGTGGTAGCCATAGCTACAGCGCTACCTGCTGCTGCTGCTAACGCACGTTCAGCCGCTGCTGCTGCTGCTCTCGCAATCTGTAGATTGTGGGCCCTTGTCTCAGCCCTAAGCCTTCTCTCGTCTCCTGGTAGTAGAACCTGGAACACAACAGGTATCCTAGCGGTATCCCGTCGTGTCTGCCTCCAATTGTCAGTTGTACCTTCAACACCCTGTGATCCACTCATGAGCTAGGCAGACGCTGTCTGCACTAATGTCCTCTTTGGAACCTACCGCAACATGCGTCTGACCGGATCTAAAAATAAATAAAACTGGCGAGTTACCTAGACTACTATTCAAGCGGCATCAACAAAACCTACACAAACTGTACACATTGTCTAGGTCTATCATGATTAGTTCTGCACTGAAGATTCGAGAAGAACTGACTAAGGTAGATGACAGTCCTACTCTAGTCAGTCTGTTAGGTGTCCGCAGTCGGTCAACCAACTAATCAAAAATAAAACTTAGACTAATGTGAGCAGATGTATGCACAATGGAAATGGTAGTGATGTTCATTTGAGTTCACCATTGGAATCCCCTTCCCCTGTATCCAACGTACCTATGAGCATCATCAAGCTGCGGTGTCTAAGGTGTGCAACCACAGCCCACCCTTGTGCCCAAGAAGTATGTTTATGACCAGCCTGCCCTTTATTTACCCTCGCGTGCAACGAGCCTTACGTCTGACTGATCTGGCTGATCAAGAGGCAATTTGAGGACAGCCCCTGGAGTCCTCAGGAATTCTTTAACGTCGCAATCAGGACGACGATCACAACCCTTGGAGTCCTCAGGAATTCTTTAACCTCGCAATCAGGACGACGTTCACAATCAGTGGACAATTCAGACCCCAACCAGAAATATTTATAGACGGTCTGGGAGCGTCACCGTAGGACTGGTCAGTCCGCACACCCTTTCTATCAGCGCAGCAAAGAGCCTCAATGGACAAAGCAGCATGGCCTGCATGTACCAATACCCATGGGTTGGCATGGTGACCATGACCCATTCTTCGACCAGGGCCCTTCAGAGGCACCGCCCTCTCCTGCCAAATGCGCCACCGGGAAGAATGTCGTCTCTCAAGATAGAGCGCACACGACTCCTCACCAAAGAGAGGACACTCAAGGTGGACTCACTTCCTCACGGTAAGAGAGATTGAGAGGGTAGACAAGGAATGGGAACAACGTACGAGGAGATAGCTTCCACCAACCACAGATTTCTCACCGATTGGGCCAACGTGCATTTCGATGACCGGTCATTAGCCTCAATACCACCCACAACGCAATGCAGTGCCACCTCAGCCAAAATGCCACGTCAGCATACTCTCATCATCATGCATACACCCGCTGTCGCCACAGCTCCCACACTGTCGCCACAGCCTTCCAGCGGCCGGCCTCTCCGCCTAGGCCCCGCTAATCAACCGGCGCCAAAGTATCCTTACTGCACATGAAGCATCGTCAGCGCACCAAGTCACAATGTCGTCGGTGCCAGGTAAGCAGCGATCACCAACCAGCTCCGATACCAAATTGCAAGGAATATGAGTGTGAGCGATATACCTAAAACCAAGCTGCGAAATCACACAGCTGAACAAGTAGTCGTGTCCCAAGCAGAGAGTACAAATGCACCAAGAAAACCATCCATATAGAGGAATACAATGAAGTAATGAGCCAATGTCCAAGCCCGTAAACCACACCAACACAGTATCCAAATTCGCTCTCCTGTCTGTCGCTCGGCGCCCAGCCTATTCTACCTGACTAGCCTACTACAGCCGGTTCACGCAACAAGATCCCTTTGACTAGGTACGTATCTTGTCACCCTCAATCAGACCTTGATTACCCCACACAGCGCCTCCTTCCCTGAAGACCACCTGATCATCCGCTGTACCCCCGGGCCCGGCTATGGCT